GTGAAATTAAAATGCGTTGTATAGAGTTAGTCTTAGCCAAGAATTAACACAAGCATAAAGCTAATTACTTTCTCTGACATGAATTCCAATTTATGTATATAGGAATTATGGGACTTGAACCAAGACTGGACTAGGCTGCAGTAACTTAGCTAAATTTTATTTCCTACTTTTGATTTTCAGTATTGAAATTTGATTCTTTCGAAGTTCATTGACTAGACTATGCATATTTGTGATGGGATAAGTTTTTCATAAAATTTGATTATGACTCAGTATACTTTATGATCTCTCCAATAGTTTAAATTAATATTTTTATTATTACATGTTACCACTGAATTTCTTCACTTATTTTAACTCACGGATCTTCCTTGTTTTCTTTTATAAGAGATTATCCTTCACTTTCCTTTTGCCCTTTTCTAATTGTTTTGGAGTTTCTCAATTCTTTATCCTTTTTGTACAGAGGATTTCTACAAATTAATCCTCCAGATACAGTTGTTCTTAGATCACAGTTATGTGAGCTTATCAGTGTTTGATTAAATAAATTGTCTTCTTTTCCTGGTTTCTTTTCTAATCCTGGCTTTATACATACTTGTTAGTAAAGCTAATCAGTTCTAAAACTCTGGTCTTTCAGCGGCATCAATTCTAAATTTTATTTCTATATCTAATAATGGGATTACTTAGTTATCTGCTGGTGCATAACCAACTACCCCCAAATAGTGGTTTGAAACAATTATTTCTCACAATTCAGAGTGTTCACAGGGGCAACAGCTGAATGGTTCTTTTGCTGGTCTCATTCCAAGTTTCTCATGCAGCTTCCTTGAGGCTGGAACGCCCACAGTGTTTCTCCTGGCCCCTTGATTGAAAGGCTGGGCTCACCCAGGACAACTGAACTTCTCCCTCATCACATGGCCTCTCCACATGGAGTTCCCAGCAGGGTAGCCCCACTTCTACGTGGCAGCTCAGGGCTTCCCAAAGGCAAAAGTGGAAGCTCTGCCCTAACTGGTTTGGCTCAGTGAATAGAGTGTCAGCCTGCAGACTGAAGGTCCTGGGTTCGATTCTGGGTCAGGGCACATGCCTAGGTTGCAGGCTCGATTCCCAGTAGGGTGCGTGCAAGAGGCAGCCAATCAATGATTCTTTCTCATCATTGATGTTTCTGTCTCTCTCTCCTTTCCTCTCTGAAATCAATAAAAATATATTTTATTTTTTTAAAAAAATAGTGGAAGCTGCCAGGCCTTACGTCTTAGCCCCAGAGTCACTTCTGCCACAGTCTATGGGTTGAAGTGAGTCCGTGTCCGCTCAGGTTCAGTTTGGGAGGAAATACACAGGGCGCCAGTACCGGAAGGCCATACTGAACACCACTACCAGAGGGGTTATGTTTCCTCTTTTCTTCGCTAAGACCTTGATTTCTCTCTACTCCTTTTTCAGTTCCCTGTGTCCCTGGTGGTTTGCCTAAGCCTGTAAATGTCACCTTCTTATCCATAAACATGAAGAATGTCCTCCAGTGGGGTCCACCCGAGGGCCTGCAAGGAGTAGACGTGACTTACACTGTGCAGTATTTCATGTAAGTTGGTTCTTTTCCTTTTGACTGATTTATAAACACAAGACTCAGACTCCTGTTAACTGTGTGAAGATACGCCATCTTTTGTATTAAATAAGTATTTGAAAAGAAAAACAATTAGATGTTTCATGTTAAATTTTTCTTGCTATGCTTTGTTAGGTTAACTTAGAAAACAGTTTCTTCATGGAGACAGGAGCACTGGATGCTGGGGCAAGGGGGAGTTATTTAAATGGAGAAAAGAAGTTGGTCAAAAGACTATTCTGTGGCTGAGCAAATAAAGAAATCCATCATCTCTGAAATGTCTAAACTTACTGGAATTATGCACATTTTAAGTGAAACTGAGCACAGAATTATGTACAACTAGCTGTTCCTGTTGAAGATAGTAGTAAGTGGACATTTTTACTTTTCACCTCTCCCTCAAAATTCATTGCAAGCAAGAAAGAATGCAAATCAGACAGACATTGTCCAACTTCAAAACAACCAAGGAAATGGTCACAACCCCCAAGCCACAGACTATGAGGTGTATAAGCCAAATACTGTGAAATCTGAAAGAAAACCACCCAGAAACTGGAAGTAAACCTATACCTCCTCAAACTCTAACAGCAAAAAATAATTTCACAAGAATAAATGTCACAGTACTCAGAGGCTTAAGTGTAAGGATGTGGAATCTAAGGATTTCCACCCCCCAGAAATTGAGGAAATGTCCCCATGGAGCCCCAGGTTGGTGCCACAGGATGTCAGAGAAGGAGGGGCTAAAAGTGAAATCAGGTTCAAATGATATATCCAATGTAGAAGATCAGAAGCCCAAGAGAAAGGGGAATGAGCAGGACAGGAGAGAGAGAAGGCAGCCCAGGCAAGTGCCATCAGCCACGTCAGCCTCCTCCTGTTGAAATCCTGAGCGTGGGCAGCTTCCCGTCAAAGGAAATGACATGAGTCCATGATACGGTGTGTGACAGACCCTCATTCCTGTGCCCATTCACCTAGTATAATAGCCCAAGCTGGTTTGGTTCAGTGCATAGAGCATTGGCCTGTGGACTGAAGGGTCCCAGGTTTGATTCCAGTCAAGGACACATGCCCCGAGTTGTGCACTCGATCCCCAGTAGGGGGCGTGCAGGAGGCAGCCAATCAATGATTCTCTCTCATCATTGATGTTTCTTTTTATAAAAAATATATTTTATTGATTTTTTTACAGAGAGGAAGGGAGAGGGATAGAGAGTTAGAAACATCGGTCAGCTGCCTCCTACACACCTCCTACGGGGGATGTGCCCGCAACCAAGGTGCATGCCCTTGACCAGAATCAAACCTGGGACCTTTCAGTCGACAACAGGGAACTTTGGTCAGTGCTCTATCCACTGAGCCAAACCAGTTAGGGCACATCATTGATGTTTCTATTGCTCTCTCTCTCTCCCCCTCCCTCTCTAAAACCAATAAAAATATATTTTAAAAATAAATAAAAATAGTTGGCCCCATTTAAAGAGCAGTAGTCCCAAAGAAACCAGCACAGTACCTATCCATAATCATTGGAAGAGAGAAAGAGGAAAAAAGAACACAAATGAAACATTTCTGAAAAGTTTTCTCATGGAAGTAGGAGAAAAATTCATACAAATAATTGCCCATAATTTGAGCCCATAAGCAACATGTTTCTAATGACAAAGCCTAAAGAAGAAGTTGGAATCTCTTTCAAAAGAAGAGATCCTAAGACCACAGGAAGAACTTTTTTTTTTTTTAAAAGCAAATGGGCAGAGCTTAGGGAAAAGGTGTAAAATAAAAATATTAAATATACTTTAAAAACCTATTATAGCCCGGCTGGCGTGGCTCAGTATTTAAGTGTCAACCTATGAACCAGGAGATCAAGATTCAATTCCCGGCCAGGGCATATTCCTGGGTTGCAGGCTTATTCCCCAGTGTGGGGCATACAGGAGGCAGTCGATCAATGGTTCTCTCTCATCATTGATGTTTCTATCTCTCTCTCTCCCTCTGCCTACCTCTCTGAAATCAGTAAGAATTTTTAAAAAAACCCACCTATTATAGCTGTTAGGAATAGTTCACCAGGTAATAATGATAATAATCTGGCATTGCATATCATAAATACTTGCTATATCCAGCAAAATATAATAAAAATAATAGCAAGACATATCCTGGTGAACTTATTGAACTTTAAGAAAATGAAATAATTTCTGGCCATCCTAGCAAAAGCAGGACTCAAGTTGGGTGGGAGGATGAAGTGATTTCTCTCTGGCAGCACTCAGCAGAAAACAGTGCCACATCTTCTGAGGGGAAAATAGGTGAGGCCCAAGCCTCTTACCGAGTTCAACAGATGTCTTTTCAAGTAGGTGGGAATTCAGGATATCATTCCCCTGAGACCTTCTTGGGGGGTGGGGAACCACTAACTAAAGATAATAGCCACCTGACATAGAAAAAAAAAGATGAACCTAGACAAAGAAATTAGTAATGACAGGATAATGGCATAAAGGCTGGTAGCATGCATTGCAACAATGTAAATTTAGAACTAAGACCACATAGTGGTGGGAAATATGGTTCTTGAAATTTCTCATATATATTTGAACCTAAACAATAATAGAACAAATCAGAAGGTGGGCAAAAACTCTAAGTGGACTGATATTCATAGCAGAAAACCATTAAATATGATCTAAAATGAAATGACTTCATTTTAATGACTAAGCTCTCAGTATTTTTTGAGAAACCGTTTTCTTAATTTAAATGATATTTTAAGAACTAATATCTATTGTGGTAATGAGACATTTGAACTATAGCAATTCCTTTAATTTCTTATTTTATATTAAAGTTTAAGTCAAGTTAAATTTACTACTTTTATTAAAACTACGCATGTGGTATCTAGTTTTTACCTATATATTCAGCTATCTAACTATCCTTCTGGTTATATGTAAGCATGATGAGATGTCCAGAATCATGTATACCAAATATTTCAGGGTAATGGGTTTCCAGCTGATTTATTTCTCTCTTGATTCTGTTTTTCTGATTAGTTGAGTTTTTTTTTAATGTACCATAGTTACAAGAAAGAATAAAGTCATTTTTTGTCTTTGAAAAAAAAATTCCGACCTCCAAAGGCAATGGAGGACTTCAACTGCTGTTCCTGAGCTAATTGAGCTAGACCTTCATTCTCATTTCGAGGTGTTTCCCAGGAGCTGAGTTTAGGAAAGAAGACATCACTGTGCAAAGGGAAATGTTTCAGGAGCACGCCCTTGCCTCCTTTTCCATTAGGTGGAGCAAAGAGCATGCTCTGTCCTTGTATGTCTCTGTGATTCAGAAAAGGACTTTTTAAAACCGGCAGATTCATCACTGCTCTCTGACAGCAGATAAATTGGATTGTGCAACTTTTGAAAAATAATATATATAAAAAAAAGGTGGACAGGAATACAGGGTGGTATATGTCACTGACAGAGCTCCAAGCTCAGCTAGAGTCAGACAGTCCTGGGTTCATAGCCAGGCTGTGAGCCTTGCTGGGTAGCTTTGGGCAGATTAAATATTATACTTTTTAAAAAATATATCTTATTGATTTTTACAGAGAGGAAGGGAGAGGGATAGAGAGTTAGAAACATCGATGAGGGGGAAACATCGATTAGCTGCCTTCTGCACATCTCCCTACTGGGTATGTGCCCGCAGCCAAGGTACATGCCCTTGAGTCCGCAGGCCGACACTCTACCCCCTGAGCCAGACTGGGTAGGGCTACATATTATACTTTTGAGTGAAGTTTGTTTCCAAGTAAAAGATGAAATTTGAACAAAAGTTTAAAATATATCTGCCAAAAGAATTTAATACAAAAATATATAGGGAAGCACTAAACGCTCAAGCTTTGCATCCCAAGAAAGTGGTTCAAATCCCAGATATGCCTTTTACTAGTGATATGAACTTGAGCATTTGGTTTCCTTATCTCTCTGAGCTTCAGTTTTCTCATCTGTAAAATGGGTTACCACTGTTACAACCTTTTGTCCCAGGCAGAAAGAGTTATCATCCTTAATTCCTCTCTTATATGCCCTCAATCACCAAGTCCTGTGTCCTGATATTTCTTCCTTTGTCCTGTTGGTTCCATGGCCACCATCCTTGTCTAAGCCACCTACATCTTCCACCTGGAGTATCCTCCCAACTCCTCTCCAGGCTGCCACTCCTAACCCTTTGCATTCTCCATGCTACCACCAGAGTTATCTTTCTAAAACCCTAACATGCTGCTTTAATCTTTTCAGTAGCCTCTCCTGCAAACCTGTCTCTTTACCCAGCTCAGCTCTTATCACTAAATATACCTTAGTCTCTCCCACCTAAAAATATTCCCCCCTCCCTATTTACTATGGGTGTTATGCTTTTAATAAAGGAAAGGAAAAGTCAGAGTGAACATCCTAGTTAATATCATCACTATAATCGAAAATGCAGATTTAGGCATGCACTTCTGTCTAGTGACTTTTCCCCAAACCCTTGATGGCAAGTAGAATTTTATGAGAATGTCAAGGTGATTTTTCTTCCAAGAAAAAAGATGGCTAATTTTTCTTAAAACAACCCATCAAACTGACCTAAGTATGCATGGTAAACTACAAAACTTACATAGATATAATTATTAGAAGAGTTGATCACACAATATGTAAAATTTTTACTGTAGCCCAAGAATAATAATAAAATACATGCTTTCAAAATATACTGTGAATTATAATTCACAGAAAAGAAAGGTGATTACAGAAACTCTGACTCATGTTCCTGACAGCTAATGAAAAAAATTGCCAGCAGCAAAAGCAGATTCCTTTTTATCTCAATGACAGGCACTTCTGTTGTTCTGAAGAGAAGGTCTTAAGTTCCATTCAGGTTTATATAATGACTGTTTTTTCCTATTGTAAAGCACAGAGGGCACTTCATTATTAATTCACAGTTTCCTTCTCTGCAGATATGGGCAAAAGAAATGGCTGAACAAATCCGAATGCAGAAATATCAACAGGACCCACTGTGATCTCTCTGCTGAAACTTCTGACTATGAACATCAATATTATGCCAAAGTTAAGGCCATTTGGGGATCGGATTGTTCCAAATGGGCAGAAACTGGACGATTCTATCCTTTATTAGAAAGTAAGTAATACAGTTGTCTGTTAAACACGGATGAATATCACGCTCACCTGACCTCCTGGTGTTACCAGGTTCAGTCTCATAGACGGCTCTGCCTGAGGAGCCAGTGCTCAGCTTGGCTCTGTTCTGCACTCTGTCCGTCAGCGGTGGAGTGACCCAAGGTGCTTGTCCCTACTGCATACCAGAGTCTTGTCTTTAGAATGCAAGCTGTGGCCAAGTGACCTCCAAGATCTCTCCCAGATCCCAAATTGACGCTAAATGTCAATACTATCAAATTTTTATTTGATTTTAGCATTTAGTGGAGACTATGTAATTTGTGGAACAACTGACAGATCTGTTTTTAATGTTGTGGGTTTCAAAACCGTTGAATACGTTCACAAGGTTGATTATAGGTTATTCTGATCACCGAAGTAAGTCTTTTCTTTGTGGTGTGACTTGGTGGTGTGATGATGCAATTTCTAGGTGTAACTCAGAATCAAGACAACATCTTGCTGGTGTTTGCGTTTTCATTGTTCCCTGCCCTGGTCTGTAGCTGACTCGGGTACAGGACTCACTCAGAGGTGCCATATGAAATTTACAAGTTCTCCTTAGGTCCTGAAACTGGAGCCTTTCTTCAGATTCCCTTCGAGCTCAGAAGTCAGCAAACTATGCCCTCAACCAAATGCAGCAGCACCCCGCCCCCCCTTTCTGTTTTTCTACAGGCCGAGAGCTAAGAATGGGTTTTACGTAGATATAAATAATAGTTGCAACAGAGATCCTATCTGGACCTTTATGGTTAAACTTTGCTAACCTCTGTTCTAGATCATTCCAATCACATCTCCAAAGGTTTTTAGCAGTGCTTCATTCCTCCGTGTCTGCTTTTTGCCATGTGTCCAATCATATTAATCTTATTTATCACCGATTTTTCAAGTCACGGCAGTGTTATAGTTTTTATTGTATTTACCATCATCGAGTACTATTTATCCATATGACTGGGAACTCCTCAACTGACTGTTTTAACATCGTGTCAGTGTACAGGAAATTCTTGTTTCAAGTTTCTGCATGCCTTGGGCCCACCTTGGAGCATTCTGAGGCATCTCAAATAAGAGAGTTGGATGGAGAGTTTTTGTCCCAGTAGGATTAGACTATAGTTTTATCCAAGGTGATTTCTACATCTGAACATAATTCTCTCTCCTCTCTCCTTTAAGCACAAATTGGCCCACCAGGCGTTACTTTGACTCCTGGTGAGAAATCCATTTCTGTGGTTCTGACGGCTCCAGAGAAGTGGAAGAAAAATTCAGAAGAAAGTTCCATTTCCATGCAACAAATATACTCGAATCTGAAGTATAATGTGTCCATCTATAATACTAAATCAAACAGAACGGTAAGTCTGAAATGGAACAGGGCACATAATCTGGGTCCCTTTCTGCAGTTAATGCTAAAGCAAGCAGCCCTGCTGCTTTAATTCTCTGCATGTGAGAATGGGAAGATGTGATATTCAAAAGAGATGCCATCCAAGGTACAATTGAAGCTATGTAGAAACTTAGGAAACTTCAGAATAATTCCTTTACAGAAACTTTCTATTAATGGACATGATAGTGCTATTGGAGTAGTTATTGACAGAGAAGCTTTTACTTGCATAACATCTGTCAGTCACTCTCGAAGAAAGAAAAAGGTATTAGCAAGAACACAGGACAACGCTGAATGAGAAATCCATCCTTACGTTATTATTTAGCATTGTACTGGGATTGGTTCAGTTCCTGGGTATTGCTGAGCTAGAGGAAAGGGGTATTTTGAAGCTGTTGCTGAAAAGTAAGCTTGTAGGCATAGCAAAGGATTTCATGGTATCTGGGTCTTTTATTTCCTTGTAGAGTTATTTGTCTGGGGTGGTACTAAAAATCTTTGCTGTAACTGATGTTTGCCATTCCCTAACCTAGTGGTCTCAATGTGTGACCAACCACACGCTGGTGCTCAGCTGGCTAGAGCCGGACACTCTGTACTGCATCCACGTGGGGTCCTTCGTCCGGGGGCCTCCTCGCCGTGCTCAGCCTTCTGAGAAGCAGTGTGTCAGTACTTTGAAAGGTAAGCTTTAAAACACCTCAGCTGCTCTGAGGAAGGAAGTCTGATGAAGCTAGAAGGCAGTGTGGCAGTGTAGACAAGGTATTGGCAAATCTGTTTCTACCAGAAACAGGTTGAGGCAAAGGCAGAAACAGCTGTCCCCAGAAATGCATTGAGCAACCCGGGACACTGCCATTGAACTTGGCCAACGTTAGGGAGTGTTTTCACCCCTCGGGGGACCTCAGCACCAGGCCTGGCACCTGCTGCCAGCAAGCCACTGCCTTGGGAAATAACAATGGGGAACTTTTACACACATCTTTTTTCTTTTTCCAAATGATAATCGTTGCGGTCAGTAGAAGTTCTGTGGTCTTCAAGCACATCAGACAATTAATTGTATTGCCAGAAACAAAGCATGATCATAAAAACACTTTTTAAGACAGAATCCTTTGCTCCCCCTCAGAAATACAAATTACAGGCTCCATGTTTATATATTGCTGACTGGCTGGTCTGGGATATACAAACCAGTACTTATGGCCAGTCTCTCTTAGAGTTGCTTCTCTTTCTTTCTTCCTTTCTTCCTTTCTTCCTTCCTTCCTTCCTTCCTTCCTTCCTTCCTTCCTTCCTTCCTTCCTTCCTTCCTTCCTTCCTTCCTTCCTTCTTTCTTTCTTTCTTTCTTTCTTTCTTTCTTTCTTTCTTTCTTTCTTTCTTTCTTTTTCTGTCTCCTTCTCATGTCTGAACGTGGCTGCCAAGGAACTGTGAGTGAAGAGTCTCCTTCCTATTGGGAGACATGGAGTTAGGAGCTTAGCATTTGTGTAATCATTCTTCCTCCAGGGTGAGAGGACCTTGTATTCAAAACCTGAAAATTGAAAATAAATCCTAAAGTTGACCTTCACTGACTGGCTCTTCATCCATTATTCTTCTGTTTCTCTCTTCCAAACGTGCTGGCCTAAGACAAATGTCATAGCATTTCCCCCAAGCCTTGGTTTCATCCCCAGCTATGGGACAGGGATGGTGAAAGACCCCTGCTCTCCTCCTCCTTCACGCCTCCCACATGTCATGATAAAAATGTCCCAAGGAATAAAAAGGGAATTTTTTTAGTACAAATAAAAAGCAAAAAGCTTCCTTTTTAAATCTCTATCCTTGCCATAGCTTTCCCTTTAAAATAAAGGGTTCTCTACCACGTGTCAAATTAAACTAAAATGCTAAGCAAGCAAAAGGCAACACAAAGCAGATTGAAGAAATTATTTCGGTATTTGGATAAAGTGCTCTGTTTACTAATAGCTTGATCAGTGGCCAAATGCTAGGAATGCATTTCCAGTGGAAGTCATTTAAGCAGTTGGCAGAGTTAAGCAACTAGAGTAGAGATTAAATTAAATACTTCCCAGTAAGCAGATGGAGCAACTTTCTAACCAGTTTAGGAAAGGTAACAAAAGAGCAAGGAGGCACCATTTCAGGTCCTGAGCTTTTCCAGGATCTCCCAGCTGTTAAATCACCCCAGCTACCTTTCCAAGACAACGCTTTGACAACCTCCTGTCAACCGGGCCCTAGCTGTTTTGGCTCACTAGGTAGAGCATCGGCCTATGGACTGAAGGGTCCCTGGTTCAATTCCAGTCAAGGGCACATGCCCAGGTTGCAAACTTGATTTCCAGTAGGGGGTGAGCAGGAGGCAGCTGATCAATGATTCTCTCTCATCATTGATGTTTCTATCTCTCTCTCCTTCTCCCTTCCTCTCTAAAATCAATAAAAAGATGTATTTTTAAAAAATCAGTATTATCTCTTTTGGGATTATTCTTTGGAAAATATGTCTGTTCCCCATAGTCCCCCAATTCCTACAAATACAGATAGGATTTCTTTGTTTATTGTAACCAACATGTGCTGATGTACACAAAGTGCCACCAGTCACTGTTGGCCTGGCTCCTTTTAATTAGTGCAAGTTCCGTCCTAGATCAGGGATTGTATCCAGAGGACTGGACTGAGTTGTAGCCTAAAGTAGGAGCAGATGATGCCCCGTCACCTGCAACATCTGCATGGTGGTGTTGGCATTTTTCTGTGTGGAAGCTGATGGCAGATGTGCTCTTCAGGAATTGGTCAGGGTAGAGGAACCTGCAGTTGGAGCCCTGTTGTACTGGGCTTTACTCAAGTTTAACTAATTTAAATGCTAATCTCATTTTAAAAATGCCTTCACAGAAATATCTAGAATAATGTTTTACCAATATCTAGGTTCCAATTTGGTTTAGCCAAATTGACTCATAAAATTAACCATCCAAACTTCCAATTACCCCACAGGAGCTTAACAAATACAAGTTAGTCACAATAATCCCCGTTCTGATCAATGGTGGGCCAGGACTACTTTTCTTAAAACTATTCACCAGGTCTTTTCATTCCCTATGGACTTTTACTCATCATGAAACCGTAACACATCAAAATCTGGAAAAGAGTTACTGCCGTTCTCAGCACACACCAGCTCAGCCACCTTCCAAGAAACATCCCCAAGCTCCAGACATACCCAGAAAAGTCCGAGCAACCAGCACGAGGGTAGTTCTGTTGGTCACGTAGAAGGTGATGCCATATATCCCTGTCCTCTACTGAATATATGAAAAAGAGTGGCATAGAAAAGTGGGACTGCTTAGTGGGATCATTACAAGAGGGTTTTGTTGTTCGTATGGAGTGTTGTGAGTTGCCTGAATTTCAGATACATTTACCTTCAAGTATAAAAACCAACATGAATCTCATAGCCAGACATAAAATGTTGGAATATATGCTGACCTGGGTTGCTAACGCATCCTTGCTGTAAAGATTTGAGACAGTCCTTAAGACCATCTATTGTCAGAGTCAGTAGGAATTCTGAGACCCCTTATTACATTGTTATAAATGAGAAAACTGAATTCGTACATGTAAGTGATTATGCCCAAAGCTTCTTGACATTGCCCATGTTTTCCCACCACACCAAGTTACAACACTCTACTCTCCCCCCCCCCCTTTTTTTTAACAGATCAAACATCAGCATTGAAAATTAAAATCATCTTCTGGTATGTTTTGCCCATATCTGTTACCCTGTTTATCTTTTCTGTGATGGGCTTCTCTGCGTACAGATATATCCATGTTGGCAAAGAGAAACACCCGGCAAATCTGGTGAGTGCTTAGTGTGGCTGGACTCATTATAGCAACACATCTCCAGGAAGCTGGAAAGGAGGCTCTGTAACTAATACCATTCCTTTTAGGGGCAGAGTGAGTTTAAAGGTAAAGAGCTAATAAATTAAAAAACAACAACAACACTTTCTCTACTAGATTAACTCACTAACATAACCAAAGAGAAAGATTCTTTAGCAGTAACAAAGATTTTAGGTTTAATGACCAGATTAGACTAGGTCTTGAGGTACAAGATAGATGAGGTCATGATCCATGCCCTTCCAGAGGTTCAACTCTAGTTGGGGACAAGAATTTCAAAATGATATGACTATGATGAAAGCAGGCACTGGGGATGCTAGGGGTACAGGGGAGGCACTGAAACCCTGCATGGGGATCAGGAGAAGTTCATGCCTGGGCTTGGTTATAAAAGGTGAGTAAGAGTTAGGGACCGACTACTGGCAGAAGAAACAACAGGGTGAAGGTGGATAGCTGTTTGGGAAACCACATGGTATTGTTAAATCATAAGGTTCCTGATGAGGAGCTATGAAAGCTGTTTCTAGAGAGTGGGTGGTAAGGCCAGGTAATGAGAGAATTGGGCTGTTATTCCAAGTAGGTTGGGCTTTATTCTATTGGCAAAGAAATCTCTGTAGGTTTTTACCTTGGTGATGTCACGGTCGATATTGTGTTTGAGATCCAACTGGATAATGGGTCTAAGACAACATTAGGGGGATTGAGACTAGAAGAAACAAGTAAAGTAACTAGGAGACTGGCAGTTTTCCAAAGGAGAGAAGATGAGAGTCAGAGAGAAGAGAGTGGGATGGAGGGCTGGGCTGGAGACCAGGACATGGGATGGAAGCACATTTAGGGGGGAAATGGCCAGGATCTCATCACTCACAGTAAGGAGAAGCAAGGAGTGAAAGGAATTAACCTTATCCTCTGGACCATGCACTGAAGGGTTTTGAAATGCTGAGCATATTTTAACAATAAAAATTATTTCTTTGGGAAATATTAAAAATATGTTCACATGTACACAATACATACATGTATTCCTGTTAGTTCAGTTTAAAAATAGTTCTATGAATCTGCCTGCACTTAGGGTTCAGGATTAGCTTTTTAAAGGCATAGTGAGACCTTTCCTGGAAGGGAAATTCACAAAATTGACCACACGTTACTTTTTACAAAAAAAAAAAAAATGTAAAAGAATAAAATTAAAGGATTTATTTTATAATGTTAAATGAAATCACATCATAGATTAGACAATGAGGATTGTAACATAGCTCATCATTGGCAATCTGAACAGGCGCCTCCCACATATCCCCAGCAACATTTTAACCTGAAACAAGTTTTCCTGGCATTAGGTAGAGTTTTTCTGTCTGCCATAAACTGGCAAATGGATTTCCCTTTTTGACTTTATTATAGCATGATTCCTTTGGTGTTTGGGGGAAGTAAGTAGAACCATCCCTGCTCATGTTCTTATCTGCTTTTTACAACCAGTTTTCATGCCCACCCACATTTCATGTCCAGACTGTCTCCAAAAAAGGGCTGGGAACCCAGGTAACCACAGCTTATGAGCAAATACATAGTAAACTATAATTAACAAAGCAATTTCAAAACCTCCATCTCACTTAGTTCTCACCACCCCTTATGTGGCACAAATTCTCATTTTTCAGAATTAAAAAATCAAGGCTCAAGAAATTAAATAACATCCTAAATTTCCTCAGCCAGTTAGAGGAGGGGGCAGTCACACCTTTATATTTGACCTGGACAGAGACCCACGCAGTGAACCACTTTTCACTTCATATGCATTTTGTATGTCTTGGTCTCTTCCATATGCATTTTGTGTGAATGAGGTTTTCTCTATATTCCAAGCATAACTTTCATTTCCATGAGTTGGTAAGAATAGACCTTTAAAACCATCTGATGACAGTATAAGTTCTACTTAACAGCTGTTTTTAATATCTGTCAAAAGCGAAAAGGTGAAAACCATTCTCTTCTCTCTTTATAGATTTTGATTTATAGAAATGAACTTGACAAAGGATTCTTTGTACCTGCGGAACAAATTGTGATTACCTTTATCACACTCAATATTTTGGAGGATTCTAAATTTTCTCATAAGGATATAAGTGTCGTGGAAAAAAGCAATGATGTATGGGATCTGCATGAGCCCAGCAAGGACCAAGAGCCCCATCAGGAGGAAATGGAGGTGATGCACTTAGGGTATGCTTCCCATTCGATGGACATTGTCGATGACACTGAGGAAAGCTCCAAAGGGACTTCCCTGACCCAACAAGAGTCACTCGGCAGAACAATACCCACAGATAAAATAGTCATTGAGTATGAATATAATGTGAGAACTACTGACCTTTTTGTGGGGCCTGGAGATCAAGAGCTCAGTTTGCAGGAGGAGATGTTCCTACAAGGAAAATTATTTGAGCCACAGGCAGCTTTGGCTGACTGGGGCCCACAAACACTACTGTATTCATATACCCCTCAACTCAGAGACTTGCACCACCTGCCAGAGGAGCATGTGGACACAGAAGAGGAGCCAGAAGAAGAGCCATCGACCACACTGGTCGATTGGGACCCTCGGACTGGCAGGCTGTGTATACCTTCCTTATTTGGCTTTGAACATGAGTCAGAAGGGTGTGAACATCCTGAGTACAAGGAGCTCACAGATGAGGGCCTTTTGTCTAGAATTTATGAGGAGCAGGCTCCTGACAAGCCACTTGAAGAAGATGCAACCTATCTGACGCAATTTTTGGAGGAGTGGGGATTGTATGTACAAATGGAAAACTAACACCCACACCTCCCTCTCTGCCTGACCCCTACTGTTACAAGGCACATGAGTGCAAACATCCGAGTGCCCAAACAATAAAGTATCTGGGATAAAAGAGATTTACCTATATTTTTTTTGTCAGTGAGAACAACTTATTTCCTCTTTCCTCTTAGCACTTGTTTCATTCTGTCTCACATAGGGGTTGGTTCATGCCTGTGGGCCTCTTACAGTGATGGCGGGCACCTGTAATTCCATTTCTTTGTACCGGTAATATTTGCCAAATGTTTGTCAAATTAGATGTAGAATGTATTCAGGGGGGTGTACTCTGGGCCTTTGTTATTTTCAAATAAGCACATTTATACAATTATTTTTTGGACACTTAAATGTATAACACTGTAAAAATGTTTCATTATATAAATACTACTTTTTTAGAATTTGGTTTATTGTTAGAAGAATGATATATTTAAAATATACGAATATCACAAAGTGGTAAGTTGGTCACACTTAAGGACCCCAATGCATCATTAAATCATAATAATGTTCAAAATAAACGAGTAGGCACAGATCTGCTTGCTATCACAAGCTTTGGGCTACTTTAAGTAGTCATATTAATACTTTATTAATATGTTTTCACTTGAACATGGATGGACCTTGAGAATATTATTCTAAGTGAAATAAATCAGCCAGTAAAAGCAAGAATCATGTGATTTCAAGTGTAAACATAAATTGTTATTATTTTGTAGTCAGGAAATATCACCTCAATAACTTAGTAGGAGTTTCTAGGAGGGGGCTAGCCTGAAAGAAAATTTTATAATAGAACTAGAGGCCTGATGCATGACAATTCATGCAAGAATAGGGCTTTCTTCCCCCGGCTGCTGGCACCAGCTTCCCTCCAGCACCCCGGACCCAGGCTGCTTCCCTCCTCTAGCCACCTGCAGGCACCCAGGACCCAGGCTGCTTAGTGGAGCAGTCCCTCAGCCCGGCGTGCACCCTCTCGCAATCCGGATCCCGAGAGGGTGTCCGACTGCTGGTGGATCGGGCCTAAACTGGCAGTTGGACATCCCTAGGCATCCGGGATCCAGGCTGGCTTTCCTAGGACTGGGCTGGTTTTCCTCTGGTCCCGGCTTCATCAGGAAGGATGTCCGGAATGATGTGCGGTCTAATTAGCATATTACGCTTTTATTATTATAGACTAGAGCAGTGATGGCAAACCTCTTGAGCTCGGCGTGTCAGCATTTTGAAAAACCCTAACTTAACTCTGGTGCCATGTCACATATAGAAATTTTTTGATATTTGTAATCATAGTATAAAAAAGATTTATAACCTCATTGCCCTTAACCACTCAGCCTGCCAGCCTGATCACCTCTAACTGCTCAACTGCCTGCCTGATCACCCCTAACAGCCTCTGCCTCGGCCCCTGCCACCGTGGCTTCATCTGGAAGGACATCCAGAATGACGTCTGGAAGGTCATTCAGCTGTCTGGTCTAATTAGCATATTATGCTTTTATTATTATTGATATTACATTTATTCCTAGAAATGTTTTCATTAAATTTACTAGAGGCCAGGTGCACGAATTTGTGCACCTGTGGGGTCCCTCAGCCTGGCCTGTGCCCTCTCGCAATCTGGGACCTCTTGGGGGATGTAGCAGTGCACAAAGCAGCAGGCAGCCAGGGAGGATCCCAAGCCCGGGCCAGGTGCCACACTGCTCCCACTGTGGGAGTGCACTGACCACCAGGAGGAAGCTTCTGCATTGAGCATCTGCCCCCTGGTGGTCAGTACGCATAATAGCGACCGGTCATTCAGTTGACCGGTTGCAATGATCGCTTAGGCTTTTACATATATAGATTGGAGTGGCATTGGTTAATATGATAATACTAGAGGCCCAGTGCATGAAAATTCATGCACATGGGGGTCCCTCAGCCCAGCCTGCACCCTCTCACAGTCTGGGACCCTTGGGGGATGCCCACCTTCTGGCTTATGCCTGCTCCCTGAGAACAGGTGTTTTAAAAGAAATAATCATATCCTTGGGTAAAGATATTTTAAAAGGTAATGGTTGCATGAAAATTCACTGCCAGAGGGGCTGAGGGGACTGGGGGACTCCGGTGGGGCTGAGGGGACTGGGCACTGCCATTTTGTGGCTGTGGGTGCTGCCATCTTGTGAGGGTGTGATGGTTAATTAACATGTTCCCTCTTTATTAAGTAGGATAGGTTTCAAGTGTACATTTCTACGATACACAATCTGTATGCTGCATTTTGTCCCCATTACCCAAAGTCAAATCATCTTCTATCACCATATATTTGGCCCTCTTTACCCTTTACTCCCCTCCACCTGCTTCCCTCTGGTAACCATCACACTGTTGTCTATGTCTATGGGTTTCAGTTTTATATCCCACATATGAATGAAATCATATGTTTCTTAGCTTTTTCTTACTGACTTATTTCACTTAGCATAATATTCTCAAGGTCTGTTCATGTTGTCACCAATGGCAGGATTTTATCCTTTCGTATAGCTGAGTACTATTCCATTGTATATATGTACCACATCTTCTTTACCCAATCCTCTATCGAAAGGCACTTTGCTGAAAGTCTTTTGATGACTGCTTCAATTTCCTCCATAGTTATCAGCCTATTTAGATTTTTTTATTCTTACTGATTGAGTTTTGGAAGGTCATATTTTTCTAGAAATATGTCCGTTTCTTCTAGGTTGACCTGTTTGTTGGAATAGAGATGCTCACAGTATTTTTTTTTTCAATTCTTTGATTTCTGTGGGACCTATTGTTATTTCACCTCTTTCATTTCTGGTTTTGTTTATTTGGGTCCCCTCTCTTTGCTCCTTGGTGAGCCTGGCTAGAGGTTCATCAATCTTGTTTTAGCCTTTCAAAGAACCAGCTCTTGGTTTCATTGATCTTTTGTATTTTTTTTTTTTGGTCTCTATGTCATTTATTTCCACTCTGATCTTTATTATTTCCTTCCTTCTGCTCACTCTGGGCTTTTCTTGTTGCTCTCTTTCTAAATCTTTAAGTTGTAGAGTTAGATAATTTATTATCCGTTTTTTCTCAAAGAGATAGACCTATAATGCTATGAACTTCCCTCTCAGAACTGCTTTCACTGTGTCCCATAGATTTTGGATTGTTGTGGTTACATTGTCATTTGTTTCCAAGATATTTTTTTATTTTTTCTTTGATATATTTGGTAACCTAATCATTGTTTGACAACATGCTATTTAGCCTCCAAGTGTTTGAATTGTTGTGATTGTTTTTATTGTAGTTTATTTCTAATATTATGCCATTGTGATCTGAGAAGATGCTTGATATGCTTTCAATCTTCTTGAACTTGAAGACTCTGCCTATGTCCCAATATGTGGTCTATCTTTGAAAATGTCCCATGTGCACTTGAAAAGAATGTATATTCTGTAGCTTTGGGGTGGAATGTTCTGAAGATGTCAATTAAGTTCATATAATCCAGTGAGTCATTTAGGATTGCTGTTTCTTTTTGATTTTTTGTCTAGAGGATTTATCCAGTGAAGTCAATGGAATATTAAAGTCCCCTACTATGTATGATTGTATTGCTGTCAATCTCCCCCTTGATATATTCCAGAAGTTGTCTTATGTATTTGGGTGCTCCTGCATCGGGTGCATCTATGTTTACCAGAGTTATATCCTCTTGTTGTATCGATCCCTTTAGTATCATGAAGTGGCCTTCCTTGTCTCTTGTTTTTGGCCTTCACTTTTAGGTCTATTTTGTCAGATATAAGTATTGCTACCCCAGCTTTTTTTTTTAATTTCCATTTGCTGGATAGACTATTCTTGCATTCAGTCCCTTGCTTTGCATCACTTTGTATACTTCATCTCATTCCCTTCTGGCCTGGTGTGTTTCTATTGAGAAATCATTTGATAATCTAATAGGAGATGCTTGTTGGTAACTCTGTGTTTCACTCTTGCAGCCTTTAAGATTCTCTCTTTGTCGTTAACATTTGCCATTGTAATTATGATGTGTCTTGGTGTGGGTCTTTTGGGGTTCATCTTGTTTGGGACTCTTGGTACTTATGTGACATTTTCTTTCCCATATCAGGGAAATTTTCTGTTATTTTTTCTTCAAATAGGTTCTCTAATCCTTGCTGCTCTTCTTGTCCTTCTGGCACCCCTATTATACATATGTTACTTCATTTCATGTTGTCCCAAAGCTCCCTTAGGCTCTCCTCCTGATAATTTTTTTCTCCAATTGCTGTTCAGATTGGGCATGTTTCTCTGCCCTGTCTTCTAACTCACTAATTCAGTCCTCCACTTCTCCTAGTCTACTGTTGAAACCTTCCATCATGTTTTTTATTGTAGCTGTATCACTTTTGATTTCCTCTTGATTCTTACATAGGTTGTTGATTTTCTTGCCCATCTAGTTTATGAACTGTATGACCATTACTCTGAATTCTTTTTCTGACATATTGCATGCATCGGTTCCATTAGTTCCTTTGGCGGGGGGAGGGGGGGGCAATTTCCCCTTTTCTTTCCTTTGGAGGTTGTTTCTTTATCTCCCCATTTTTGCTATCACTGAAGGGTCCAGGCACCGAGATGCACAGGGCCTAAGCCGCAACAGTGGGCTTCACAGGAGCATTGCACATGCCAAAAGTCACAGGCGATCTGGGGAGCCAGGGCACATGGCCACTGCAGGTCAGCAGGAGCCCCACGTGCACCAAGAGTCACGGGGGAGCCCAGACACGTGGGACCTGTGCTGCTGTGACAGGTCAGTGGGAGGGGAACATGCTCCGGGACTTAGGAGCCTGCAGCCAGGAAGACTGTAGTCTTGGTGTCCTTGGGTCTGCAGCTGCAGTAGCAGGTCTTTGTCCAGAGTGGCTGTAGGTCCCCGGTTTGCATTTGATGCCAGTCTGGGTGGTGGTGAGGCTGGGCTTCTAATTACAGCAGTTCTGCCCTTCAATATGGTGTGGTTTCTGTGCCGGCACCACTAGCTGCCCAGGAGTGCTTGCAGCGATAGTGGGGGCTCCTTGTCTAAGAGAGCCCAGTGCACCAGCCCCCAAAAGTTCTGCAGGATCTAACTGTCCCTCACTCACACACACACACTGCACATGTCCACACACTCCCCTTTCGGTCCCTCACTCTCTT